TACTTGGAACTTGCTGCTGATTGTGACAGATGTTAACTGATTACTGAATGCCACAACTAAAACGGTCAGCTCCCTCGATTCAGAACGAGAATCATGATTGTCGGAAAAGCAGAGGATAAAACGTTTACCTCTTGATATGCCGAAGCATTGTGGCTGGTTGTTGTCGGGTGTGGGTAACTGTATATCTACAGCCAAGACCACAAGTTGGGGAAAGGCACTTCCCAGGAAGAGAGCAACCCAGAAGAGATCGACTGTCGTCAAACTAGTTACACTGCAAGAAAAACAAATTTGAAGACTCACGTTTTTTATATTCAAGAACTCCTTAGAGAAAACTACCTGCACGTACATGTTAGCAGATCGGTGAGGTATCTATATATGGACAAGGGGTGCACTCATCTTTCTCGGAAAAACTTAAGAGAAAGGAAATATTTTAGTCTACTTATCCTTCAACCAAAGGTTCCAAAAGCCCTAAATATTCACCCTTAGAAAGGCCATAAAAACATGAACCGTTTCCAAATCCCCTCCAATTACCCCTCTATGGTCCTGGGTCCATCCGGGCATTTACAGTCGTCATTGCTAAATCGGCTACAAAAAATAATGGTTATAACCAACACATGTATTTAGTTCCGGCGAAAATGTGCAGATTTCTATGGGAAGAAAATCTGTCACAGCGAAATCTCACTGTACGAAATTCCTGTTACAACGAAAGGTTTTTCTTGACTCCGTTGCCTGGTAAAGCATTGTTAACGACCAACTTATAACGAGTGTTAGAAAATCGCGGTGGTAAAATCAGTGCTCAATAACGCTCAACGCATTAAATGCCAAGGCATGATGGAACTAAGTGACACCTTTGTAATAGCGGAAAACATTCGCGATAACAGCCAGCCAAATAAAACAAACAAAGATTAGTGTGCATAAAGTCTTGTGACGGACTGCATGAAAAACTGAATTGTATCCTAGTTTTGTCTCGGGAAGTTTCGATCACAATATATTATTTTTACTGATATCGTTAAATCTAAGGCAAGCAATAATCAATATATTTCATGCACACAAATTCTGAGGAAAAATGACGCATTCATTGCATTTTGTTCAACTGATCTTCCTGTGCTTACTTCGTTAATAGTGCCACTGAACATCTCAAAAACTATTTTGTTGTTTCCATTTTGACTGCATTAGCTTTTAATTAGACCCATTTTTTCGTTTAATTCAATTTTCGTCTGATGTCGACAATACCGGACCCTCACTTCTCATCTCTTCTTGATAGGCAACACGCCACTCCAGACTACTAAAATGTCACTTTGTATAAAAGTGAATTCAGCCACGTTTTACCTTGGATACGTAGTCTTTTAATTGTTTGAGTCCCTTTATCAGCCAAACCACTTTTTCAAAATACTGGGGGTCAGTGCTAAAATGCTTTTTGATACCGACCCAGCCAGCCACTTTAAGCTCATGAGCAAAGCCCAAGTTTTAACATTTCCCCCAGAGAAATGTACAAAGTTGCGCTGGTTATGTTACTGCCACACAGTCATAACAGTCGAAGTGACCTCAGCCCTGACACCTTGTATAGAAGTCACCAGAACAAATATTTCATGGAAAACCTTAACCTGCGTCATATGATTATTTTGCGCAAACATACTTTTCTGCAGCAACAATGTCGCGCACCCACAAGCGTTGGCCGGAGAATCTGCATTCTTTGGAACATAAAGGGGCATACATTATGGGGCCCTCACGGCTGTTTCAAAACAACTGGTCCAAAAAGTTATCGTTATGAAAAAGAAACTAAGTGTCGAAAAAAGGAATGCAAATTCCGAGAGAAGGCTTTGAATAAAACAGACCTGCCCAAAGAATTTTCTGAAGGATGAAAAATTGTCCTCCACCAGGCCTCTGGATCTGTTTTAGTATCCCTCGCTTTTCATAAAAGAGTTACAGCCGAATAAATCAAAAACGGTATTTCGTTTTTCATATGCTGTAGCTCCTCATGAGTTTTATTCCCTGAGTAAAGACACTTAATAACCTACATCAGCCCTATACACTGCCGAATTCACTATGGGCAAGGTACCATTTTAATCTCTTCTTCTGACGGATTTATTTGCGTCGCGAGTACACAGAATCTGTAACTGTCATGACGGATACGCATAGCGGAATGATTTGTAATTTGCAAATCGAAGCAACAGCGAAGAAAGTATGACTTATTTCAAAGTGTTTGGCCATCTGCACTGTATAAAGTTCACAGCATGCGTTTACCTGTCTCGAAAGTGATTGATTTTGACGGCATTGTATGGTTGATTCTATAGTAAAGTTAAGATTATTGAAGGCCGTTCTTTGTGAAACAGCATTTTTAGATTCAAAATGATTGAAGGTCACTTAATAGCAGAAATAACATTCGGTTCTCACCCTGCCATGGATTGTTCCCTGTCAAAGAGCGTCCCGTGAGGTAATCCAAGAACATTTGCTGCAGTTGTGTTGACTTAAGGTTTCAGCCTGGTTCCCGATGAGATCCCGTACGATAAAATTAACTTTGAGTTAGTTAAATAACTAATAACGGTGATCCTCTCCAAATGCGCTGATTACCTGTGACAGAAGTAAATGTGACCTTGAAAACAATGCAATAATTTTCCTTTTGGTGATGAAATGTCCAGAAATCACTGCTAGACTCTTTGAAACCTTAAGCGTCCTATATGCATGTGAAGGGCTACAGCTGATTCTATTTAGGCTAGATACACATATAAGTGTGTTCACGCTTCATCGCCCTCGAGGCAGTGCATATTTGAACAGAACATGTCGCTTAAACATCATGGTTGAGCTCTTCATATTCCTCGTTTTTATGATAATATTATCTGTTAAAGATTACATAGGGACTGCAAATAAAATAAGTCCCTTCATACACGAATGACATTTGCTCGTGCGTTAAATCACGCGATTTGTGGCATTTTTTCAAATGACTCTTTTGAACATGTTTAAAAAGATACCTAAGAGAAGTTAAATTGTTAGTTTTTTCCTCTTGGTACACTTCAGGGGTTTAAGTGTGAGGTCGCAAATATTTGAGGAGTTTGCAATTGTATCTCAGAAAAAAATATCTTTGTTGGGTAAAACAAACCTTCAACTGTTTCACTTTCCTGATCTGTAAATGAAAACAATACTGAAAAGAAGCCGTATACTAAACAAAAAATGGCCAACAGCAGCAGGGTTAAAGGGTACGAATAAATCAAAAACGGTATTTAGCCACACCCTACAAAATATGCTGGAAACAAACGTGACACATGATTCGTCTCAAGTAAAACAAAATATCTCCTGCTGAGCTGGGCGTGTTTACGATAGGTACCATATAGTGTTCCAAAACAGGGTAAATAGTTCCGCGTTCTTTTCCATACGCAAATCTACTGTGGCTTTGTTGATTTTACAAAGATTTCAAAAGTTCTTTGGCTTACATGTACTTGGATGGCAGGTGTTGCCTATAGGAGGACAGTGCCAACCCAACTGGAAAAGGGCAATCAATTTGGAATGGCAATCAACTAGAAGTTGGCCCGACATATCAAAGCCGACTGAAATAAATGTGCATTTCATGCATCCTGATCAGCTAATGGGACACGTATGTTTCACTCCCATTCGACGTGTAAATGTGGAAATTAACGACATCGACCGTGCGCGGCGGTTACTTGACTAAATCCTGGTGAACCATACAGAATTGTCCTTAGCAACTTGCCAATCCTCTGTCAAGACTTCTCGATTTACTATTTCTCAATTTCATTTTCCTAAAACTAGTTAGAAAAAGGCCTTATCTTACCATGTGAAAATAGGTGAAAATAAGACGTAAATTTCATGAAATGGGGCAGCTTCTTACCTGGCACAAGTTGACTCAAGTTAGACTGACGTTGCTACCCTTTCGGTAACCACTAAATACCAACCGGTGTAGCGGTTCGGGTTCCATCGTATTCGGCCGGCGCGCCCCGACGTGGTGACCTCACACATGTCACATGACGTCATGTGGAGGCGGTACTGTGGGTACACACAACCACGTGTGGCATGCCTATCGCGTATTATCGGGTTAATGTACTGTACATAGTACATGACATGTACATGGTGAACCATGTCGCGGACGCCGGGCATAAACATAAGCCACGGAACGATCCTTCAATCTCTTTCCGGCTACATGCACGTGTAGCAGTGTTCAAACTCAGCTGACCGGTTTCGTTTGCAACATGGAGCTAAAGTCACGTCCCATGAAAACCTAAGCCAATCCTTGGTTGGGATATCCATGGAGGTATCTTATACTGATATAGTTGATTTTACGAGAAATCCCGCGCATACTCGAGTATGCGGGGGAATTTTTATGAAATTTTGGATATGGAGGTCAAAAACTGTTCTTGCCAGTGGCGATGTAGACAGCAAATATGAACGCACGTCCCTGCCCATTTAAACCTGGAGTTTTTGGCTGCAAGGCCCTTTTCTAGGTATCCAAACAAAGAATTTAGATTTTTCAAAAATTAAGTTATGCCATCATGTAACCAGTTTCCAAAGTATCAAAGGTGAGCCACTAAAACCGGACTTTTTCAGCCTGACACCGTACACAGTCGTCGCACTCGGCCTGGCAGCTCCCATAAAGCTGATAAGGCGCTCTCATTTGATAGCCTTTTTAATAATTTCCCTCTAAAATATACGTAGGGAGCACAGTGCTAACCGAAACCACGCGCTCATAAAGTTTAGGATTGCGCGCCTGAATCGCCGTCTGTCGGACGTCATTCGGGACTTCAGGGAGGGTGTCAAACCCCCTCTACGACGTTCTTATCCAAAAAATGAGGCCACCAAGAACAATACTAAACCAAAATGGCAGATTATTTCTGCTCCCCTGCCTTTCCTTACGGCAAGAAAATTGTCTAAAATATTTCTGATTACTGTTCATGACAAAATCGTGGTGATGACGTCATGACGAGCGCGCATGTTGGTCTGGTGGTTTGTCATTTTCACACACAAAAGACTTTGCAATCTACAGTGTCAGAGCTACGTTTTATCTCGTCCTTAACACTGCAGTTTTATAAGTTTTGTAACATAATATTTACCCTTTGATTTCAAATTACTTAAAATTAGCTGCATCAATTCTTTCCTTAAAATGCTGACGAAAGATGAAACCGCATTCTAAACATGATGTTAATGGCGCAATTATCAGCATAATATGACTGGGTTATTTCTACATTTTATCCAAGGCAATTACTTTTCCAAGATTACTGTGACAAAGTACAAACTCTGACAATTATGAGAAAGCCCTCCACTTTTTATTTCTTTTGGAATGCATATTGGTTTTCGTGTTTGACTTTTTTCCCCTTCACTTTCGTTTACAACCCCCCTCCCCCCAAATGTGGGGGGGGAGATGTTTTCGAAATTCATTTAAAAATGTATATACCTTTCTGAATTTTATGAAACGGTGAGGAAATAAATACTTGTAGAAGCCTGTGTAGGCATATTCGATGTTATGAGTTAAGGACCAACACCACTTGCTCGATGCAGGCGCGCCCTCATTGGACTGATTATTTGTTTTCCAGTTTGATAGTCTTGTCCGTCCTGGGATCCATAAAAGCTTTGCCTGTGATGTCATCGATATGTCGGCTCTCCAGAATTGCCGAGTTGGGAACCTACCGACGAAAAAAAACACTTCAAACTGAAATTTCCTCTACATAAACTCGACTTTTTAAGTTGGTCTTATTACATGAGCTCGCCATAACGTCACCGTGACCTTTCTTTAATTAGCTCATATTCCATTGTCTCGTATCTATTTATGCAATACATTGTTGAGTTTTACATTGCAAGTTTGACCCTAGTCTCGGTTCCAAAACGTTACTATGTGTTCGCGCAGTAAATTTTGCCAGTCAACCGAGGGCGCTATGTGACGACCGATTGCGCAAGACAATGGGTGCATCCCACGAGATGTTTTACAATAAGACAGGCAATAATAAGGTGGCATCATAATAATATTTCTATAAACCCCGAATTTAGGACTGGTAGTTTCCAGTTTGGGGTATTTCTTTCGCAAAAATCCCCAAATTGCGGACCTATTTTGGATAGAGGCGGGCAGCTACATTCAGAAATGAGCGCTTAGTTTTACTAGTATTTTAGAGGTATCTTCATTAAAAGATGAATAAAAAAAATTCGTGGCTAACCCCCATGAAATTGAAACAAAAAGTGATCTTCTGGCCATAATTTTGAGTTTCCCGTGAAAAACGGAGGTCATCCTCTTTATGAGAGTCAACAGGTGGCGTTATTTCGGTCCGATTTTGCAATGTTTTCTATAGGCGCGTATTTGGTGTAGTGCAACCTTATCGCATGCGAATACGGACCTCGTCCGTCACATAGCGCCCTCTTTTGAGTGGCAAAATGTATTGCGCTTAAGCGTTCATGAATATACACCAAAATAAGTTTGACCCATAAACCGGTCAACGTGACTTTGTGTGATCGTGACGTACACCTCATGTCTTCTAACAGTGAACTGCTGATAAACATTATACTGGCAACTTACAATCCTGTCTCTACTTTGCCGGTGAGAGAGTGCGTCTATACAGTCAGAATGGATATCAGAACGATGAAAACAACGCACCTTGTGTAGCGGCGTATAGCAGGGATGGTGGTGCTCCTTGAAAGGATTGTTGCTGGCTCGATTGTACGAGATGATGAACACCCAGCGTCTTCTATCGCTGTCGTTACGGTCGCTCCGGTGCAGCACATTGGCATGGAAGAACAGCGCGTCGCCGGGGTTCAGCTCTACGTACACCAGCTCCAGCACCTTGTCAATGGAAGACAGCGTCACATGCATCATAATGTTCAGTGAATAACGCGAGTAGACTATGGAATCACCAAAATGATAGTCTAGAATCCTACCTTCTTCGCTTCTTCGACGCGTGCTACATCTGCTCCAGTCTGGCCCCCGACCATAAGATGCTCAATGCGGCCCAGCTTATGTGAACCCCGAAGTACCTGAAACCAGTGGCAGAATATTGAGATAAATTATTCCAGACGTTTTCAGGTGACCTTTAAAAACACCCAACCCAAGAAATGGACATTCCCTTACCTGCAAGCACCCATTTTCCTTGTCTGTCTTGTCGATGGCGATAAAGACAGATCCCATGTCAGGGAAGAGACATCCGTTTTTGTACCAGTAGCTTAATATTAGAGTAAAAAGAAAGGATTACTTTATAAACTTCAAAATCCAATAAATAATGCTCAACAATTATCAGATACATCGTCAATAGGAATATGAGCTTCGAACAGAAATAACATGACAAAGTTTTGGTCATTAATCATCTTACAGTTTCAAATGCAACGCCAAAGAATCACGATGTTTGAAAGATTTTATTCTTTGAAACTGCACGAATTTAACAGTGAAGTTATACTGTAAAAAGTTCGATACGCTAAAAGCCAATCTGTGATGGGTGAGACCATTTTGGCGATAGGCCTGATTGTATACGGTTTGGACTATTTACGTACTGCACCGCCTAAAAGGCTGTTACAGACTGAAAGAAAACATTTTGTGCTTTACCCATAATCCTGATGCCACACGTGTGAACCGCCTGTTCTTGCTTCCTTCATCATGAGTTTGGTGTGATAGTGGTACACCTCCCCTCCTAGAATCTAGCAAATATCACACAAGATACCAAAAACGACCTCAACCAGCCAGGCACCTACGCCTGTGATGGAGACTAAGTACCTTTTCCTCGTCTTCTGACCATGCATCTTAAACTTATGTCTGTAGACAATGCCAAGTGTGTTATCTCCAGTAGTGACCTTGTCACATTAATTGCAACACTAGCCAGCAACGAATGGCCGCCTTAGTGGTTCGGTGTGTGAAATCTTGACATTTTCTCCATCTTATCCTTGTGGTTATGCTTCTTGATTCCGAAGTCCCTGAATGCTATGACCCAAAAGACGTTATGAGCCTCAAGCTTGACCAAGAGATGGCCCCTTTCTTTGCAACAGAGGCTCCTTTGGTTAGAACTGAACTTCGGTGGTTCATGCACGACTGTGGAATGTACGCGTTACGGTCGCATCGCTATCGACAAAATGCAGTCCCGACAAGCGCAGCTCTTTTCGACCGATGAGGTGGTGTTTCTGCTCAAGGTGGATAATGGAATTTAAACAAGATTCGGAGTCCCTCCATTTGTTTTGAGTGAGTCATAACTGGGGATGAATGCGAGGTTTGAAGAGTGACAAAAACTGCCTTCACAGATTCAGCCAACCTTTTCCATGGTGCCTGCCACCTTCTCGCATCTCGCCAGCATCCCTGTCACATCGGAGCCCGGGTGGTTCCACAAGCTCAACTTACTGCACCGGCCTTCCCCGTCTGACAGATCGAAAGCGTGGGCCCGTATGCCCCCGTCCCGGTCGATGGCCGATCGCAAGGCGTCCATTTCCTCAGCGCTTACTAAAGACCTACAAACCGAGGGGTGGAAGAAATCAGAAGATGCAAAATACAGAAGCTTTCTGGGGCTTTCTTACAGAAGCTTTCATTTAGGATGTTCAAGGTTTTTATCCATCTGGGTTGATTTACACCACCAACAGGACAGAAATCCGGTCCCTCTACCTTATTAGAGGGCCCCCGCCCTCTGTCAATTAGAATTGACAGAGGGCGGGGATGAGAATCGACGAGGGGGCGTATTTACCTGACAATAAGGTATCCCTCCTGCCCAAACGCTTTCTGCATCTCTTCGGTCACTTCGAAATCTCCCGTGAAAGTAAAATCTGTCGTGGTTGGGAGAACAAAAACATCATACTGTCACTTGAAGGGCTTGTTTTGTTCATATTGTTCCTGCTGGATAATAACCTTTTACCTGGATAAAAACCGTAACAGTTCGTTCATTATGATAACAATAATTGTAATCAATTCTACGGCTTGTTAATAGGCCTATAGCCGGCTGGCCTTCCTAGCGCACAGAGAAGACCTGAAAAATATCGCGCGCATACGTCACGCATGAATTCCGCAATATGACACAAGTACACGCTTATTAGGTCGTACATGTAACCAACAACCTTTGTCTCCTCTTCAATGGTTAACTGAATTTCTCCTCTGTGCCTCTGGCACTGCTCCTGTCGTGCTATAAGAGTCTTTTGGTTATAAGCATGATACAAGATAGTCGTGTATGGATGTGTAATCGTGCGCATGTGTATGCCAACATTCCCCATACTTGACTGTACATTTTAGTTAAACAGTAGACCGCATGTACTGGGTAAGTACATTCGGCCATTGTGTTTACTCTGCTGCTATATTGGGACCTATGCACAGCCACATTGTAGAACGATCGCCTAGCACCTAGACAGATGGGCAGCTGTGAAAATGGGCTACACATTGTATCCTACCTGTCCTGCCAATGGGCGCCATTATTGCTGTATAACCCGTCAAACTTCAAAGAGTCCGGACAAGGCGTGGCTTGTTTAACATCTCCACCTGTAGTCCGAGGCAATGTACATGTACTATATATGTGTATTTACTGTGTAACCTGTATGTGTGTGTGACAGTAACGTCGTGCACTGTGGCAAGCGTAATTCGATCTCCATTATCTCACTGACCTTCGTCACAGCCGAACATTATAGGGCCTACATAGGCCCTGATGTGTCTCCGGTTTTGTTTTTGAATAACACGCTGAGGAAAGTTGACTTGAATGAAGGCTATATCGCGGCTTAAGAAATGTTTTTTAAAGGAAGTTCGACATTTTCAATGGGGAAGCTTTCAATAGGCATGAAGGCTAGTCTCCTCTCAAGACTGGAATTAATGAAATCATATCCATAGGAGGGTAAAAGATGTATCCCCACACAGTTGCGTATTAGAAACACACACGCCCCCTGTGCGCCTGCACATTTCGTTGACCTTAGTCAAATTGGACTTCGCCACATGAACGTGACAACGTGATTGTCATCATATTCTGTGGGACGCACTTGTGACCAAATGGGCTCTGCTAATTGAAATACGTGATGTAATTACAATACATGTAGGCCTATGGCTCAGACATACCCATCAATACGATTCAAGCAAGGAGATGACAGAAGAGTAATTTAAAACTGACATCTCAGAAACATTAACATCGAACTCTATCAATTAACTCTATTGCATTTTTTTAGATTTTTATTCTTTCAACACGAGACTTACGTGCATTGGCCACTGAAAATGAGACAAGGGTTTTTTGTTTGAAAGTAGCAAATGTTAAAAATAGATCTAATGGTCTTCCCCCTTGATGGTTGTTTTTAATTGCCACTTGATGACAAAAGTTAAAGTCAAAATAAATATATCTCCTACCCAACAACAGACTGCAATAAAGGGAACCATCGTATATTTGAATTTGCTTTGTCATCAACACCTGTGGTATCTTGGTGGGAAAATGGCATTTGGTGTTGACGTCTTGTTGGATTGGAAGTGACCAAATAATGAAAGGCGATGATGAAAGTCTCGCTGCTGTGAAACAGTCTTTCGTACCTGATGCAGGTTCCTAAAAACGTACTGACCATCCCTGCAGTGGTCAGAGTCTGCGATACTTCGGTACGGGTGATTCACAATAGCGCGCCTCCAAGAGTTTCCAAACACGGTTTGGGTCGACAGAGTTCGCGCATTGTAATTGGCCAACGCGTTGTAAACTCTTGGAGGCGCGCTATTGTGAAACACCCGTATTCATCTCTGCGTCGCATATAGCACGCATGTTCTGGGATTTGTGGATAACGTCATTAACATAATATTTTCCATAAATACTGTAAGAAAGCTGAATCACATTTCGATTTCACACATTTGTTTTCCTATAATTAGCTCAAAAGAACAAAATGTTTAAAGTAGCGCCATTTTACTATTTTCACTTTCATAGCGCTGCCCCAGATCTTTTTTGCTTTCCCATCTCGGCGCTTATTAATTCCATGAGCTTAATTGTCGAAGCAAAAGATGGACTGACTTTTTCTTGGATTCATTCCGAATCATTGGAAACAGAATTTGGAATGACGTGATCAGAAGACAAATACTCAAAGCAACTGGAATCACGTTGTACAGTCCTGATCCTCGTGTGGATTTCATATTGCATAATTTAAACTTATGAAGGCTGCTCGTTGGTTTTAAAGCATCAATAATTTATTGCCATCCTCATTTTGGAGGGGGAAGCAAATTCATTCTTTTACACATTACTGACGAGCCAAGCATTTTTCTCTTTACCATTTAAGACTAAAAAACTAACTTGGGATAACGGACAATATTTATCTGCAAAATCACACTCTTTCCCTCGTATTTTTATGGTACCCCCTTCGACGCAATAAAAATGGTTTCCGCTCAATAGCCATACATCCAGATTACAAGAGCATCGTTCTTTACAACAGTGCTTTGTTCGCAATGCTCGTGTTCTACATTCAAATTCCAAGGAAGTCAATTCCAAGATGCAGGTAAACTTGCAGCTTAATAATCTACACCAATGTGTAAAACATATTTGATTGGTCAGTAATCATGTCACTTGTTTTTAAAAACTGTATCCTATCATGGCTACGTCCTTTTTCTCTGGCACTAATGTCCCAGAGACGACTTCTCAGATGCCCTGATGACTCGACCCGCTGCAGTCACGTGATCGATAGTTGATTAGGCAGCCTCTATCCTCAACATGCACTAAACGAGCTCCAGCCAGCCATTTCAAGCACTCATTATTCCCAAAACGATTTTTTAAAGCAGTGATGCCAAGTACAAAGTAAGGGGTAAATCACAATGCTTGACATGGATAAAAATCCACAAGCCACCGGAGTTGTCAAGTTTTTATCTGAAAATTCACAGCGAAGAAAAACTAAGTTGAAATCTGCCAGTACCTATATCATCTTCTCACTTTTTTCTTGATATATAACAACAAGCAGATTATCTCTTTCCCGATTAATAGCCTTGGATTAGTAATGTGTGCACGCGGCATGCCTGTGTGGTGCGAAGTGACGCAACGGCATGACGCAAGGGAGACACTTGTATTGTCGCTCTTGCCGGCACGTAGCGTTTTGAAGAGGCGAAGCGTTGTTTCGCCAGTAGACCTTGTCAGCAGACGAAGGGATTCACAGGTTTCCAGTCTATTCGTCGTGACGATAAATTGATATAATGGGGCTTCTTGAGTTCAGTCTGAACGAATTCTAGTCAGCTGTCTTTTAACAGTCTTCCAGAGTAAGTTTGGATTTGGATCCAAGTTGCCAAGAAAGGTCAACTTTTCAACGGAAGGCTCGTGTAACATGTTCATAATCATAGTATTGAAAATAATGTCGTAAAATGTACTGTTCTGAAACCATTATATGAATTATTAACTCTTTCATCAAATATATGAGATACTGAAATAAAACTTTACGAAGACTTAACATTTGATCTTTAAAGATACAGCAAATTAGACTAAAATGTTCGATTTGTTATTGTACAGCTGAGATCAGTAGGAACGGTTACACCGTCCCAAATAACCAATGTGAGAAGGTAGTCAGCTTTCTCTTTTGAGAAGACACCTCACTTCCAATTTCATACAACCATGAAGCTGTAATTATTCGCTTTTTGGAAAGATTTGGTTATGTTTCTGGATCCTTCTGTGACGGTACTGTGTTCTCAGTGCCGTTTACAGTCGTGACTTCGATTCTCGCAGGCACGACATTGTTCCTGCGCCGGTTACAACAGACCATCATGATGACCGCCTTGCGGAACTTGTCATACTTGAAGCCGTAGAGGAATGGGTTGATGCTGGAATTCAGGGCCCCCAGAATGACCACAATTTGTTGCTGGATTACAGGCTGCGGCTCCGTGTTCACCAGATTGGCCACGGTGGTGATGTAGATGGCGCGACAGGGGAATATCAGGAGGGCGAACGCCACCGTGACGAGGATGAGCGTGTGCACGACGCGCTGGTGGGCGCGATGGAGCTCCTGGGGAGGGCCGTTGATTCCTTGGTGCTCTAAGCTCCGGGCGTTACGCTTCAAGCTTCTCATGATGCCGGTGTACATGACTATCATCGCCAGGACGGGGACCAGTACGGACAGGATGGAACTCACGACGGGAATCAGGACGATCCAGGGCTCCTCCTTGGCTGTCGAGGCCCAGCAGTTGTTGTTGAGGTACTTGATGATGAACCAGAGGCCAGCGGGGAGTTCCAAGAGGAAGGGAACGATCCAGGCGAGCAGGAGGAGGACGACTAGTCTCCGTGAGCGGAAGAACTCCGGATGTCGCAAGGGATGGACGATGCCCACGAACCGCTCTACCGTCAGCAGGAGCAGACACATCGGGGAGCTGTCCTCCAAGCCCCGCTGAAAGATGGAGTAGATCTGCACCTCCACGTAGCTGTCGATGGTCTTGTTCGTGAAGCACGAGGGAAGCTCGTCCGGGGCATACTTCCCCCAAAGCAGCCACGGGTTTAAGATGCTGCAAAGGGAGACCAAGGCGTCGGCGATGGCCAAGTTGAGGATGAGGTAATTGGTGAGGTAGTGGAGGCCTTTTGTCCGCAAGATTGTCAGAACAACCAAAATATTTCCGATCAAACCAACCGCACCGATGGATACCTCGAGACCGATGAGTGCATCATTCGGGTAAGCCTTAGGCACCTGTATCGTCCCGTTTATAATCAGTTCGATAAATTCAGATTGACCGGTCTTTGAATTCTCCATATCTTTAGAAAGAAATGTTCAGGCCTTCCTGAGTGCTTTTTTTATTCTACAGGCTTTAAATTTCCAGTTTGGCAACAGAGGTGTCACGTGATGTGAACTAGACGAGGCTCATTCAAACTCCTTCCAAGAATCGAATTCGAATCGATTCTTGCACTTTGCACTCAGTTCCATGGATCGAATCAACAATCATACCTCCAATCGTGGGACTTTCAAAAACAGGAATCACCATAAAATCCTGTCTCCTCTGAAGACCACGCCACTGCGTTCCTCGAGGCATCGATATGCGTCGTGTAAGCTCGGCGCACAGTGTCGATCAGAGCCCAATTCATCGGTCAGCGTCTCCGTTGGGTATACACAATCCAACTCGTAGCTGGTGAACAAAAAGAGAGAAAAGTGTTCAAAACGAACTTTCGATCGCTATCTGATGAGGTGACCGTGTTTCAAATCCCCCGTGTACACGATTCCGACAAGGAGACCTGGTGGCTTTCTGACCAATTCTTTTGCTGCTGCCTCTGAGATCTTGGTCATTATCAGTGTTTGATCGCAGACATCTACTGACAGTCGCAAACAACGACGGAAAATGGTCGGCGAGATTCAATTTAATACACGTTGTTAGTTTGCTTTACGGCCTACCAAACCCCACGTGCATGATCAGCGAATTTAGATATTCTGAGCTAAGAGTACATATTACCAAATCCTCCAACTAATCTATGCTGTGATAAGGCAATACCACTCACTTTTCCCTGTTTCACATTTTGAATCTCATAATCGAGGTAAATCAACACGAACCTGATATTACTTAGAATAGTTGACAAAGGGGTAGCGTTTTTCTTATCCCTCAAACCCGACGTAGCAGACTATTATCTGGCAAATCAACTCATCGGTCAAAACGTTTCAAACTTAAAGTGGAGCTGCCATGAATTTTTATTCATGGCAATTTTTCGTTTACACTCCCATTTGGTTAAATGCATTGAAAAGAGCACTTTCTAAACACTTAAAATTATCCATGCTTTCCTGGACGACGGAGGGCGCTGTTCCTTTGAAGTCATCTGGGGAAGACATAATTCAGTGCATATGATTATTTTTCTTTTCGATTTGTGAACCCAGAATTTACTTACTGAAAAAAATTCCATGAAAGGGATTGATGCTTATTACCTTTCACACAAACAGCAATGAATCAGCAAAGAAGAGAAAAACTTGTTCATCAAAATCCACAAAATTGCAACATTCTTTGGTGTACAATGTTGCAACATTGGGGCTCTCTCCCCGGAACGACATCACAGCTCTGCTCATGAATATGGAAATGTCATAAGCATGAAAACCAAAAAGGCAGTAAAACACCCTTCAAAATAGTGAACGAAATGTTCAAAATAAGTCTCATTGAGACATAAAGGTGCCTCTGGAAGATCTTTATTAAAACAAACTGATTGCAGCTACCCTTTAAAACAGCAAAGGAGGGGATTTTACTCATGCTAATGGACTTAACTAATAGAGTTGTTAATCCTGGTCCAGACAGTGCGGTTTGCGTCATAAACGTGTATCCATACGTACATGGTAAACTGTCGATAACTAATTGAGCTGAAAGCTTGGGAGACATAGGTCCACTGTCCTTGGGAACCGCGGCATCTCTGCGCGGACTCATGTTAAGGCTAAAGTCGACTTGTAAAACGTAACAAAAGAACCTTTTAACCGAGACTTTGGTTAAATGTTTCACAGATGGTAAATAAACGGAAGCTATTCCGTTTATTTTCCGGGTGATACAGCGTCCAAGGAGGTTTTTTGTCAAGGACAACAGGAAGACCAAAAATTAAAGTGGTTTTGCTCTCTCTGAAAAAAGCAGGCCTGCAGTAAAAGTCAGCACAGATGCCGTAAATGATAACAAATGTGATGCATTTTTGCAGGGAAAGATTATAAAGAGAAGATTGAAACTGGGCCGTCACTGAACACACTAAGTAGATCAAAATCAGAAGGCGAACTGAGGCGAAACGCTCTACCAGGAAACCAGGGTGCTACCAGGGTGCAGTGCATGGTATCTTCCTCGCATTCCACCTCCGTTTAATACCCAGGTCCGAATCTCTCCCGGGTCAACAAGTGGATTGCCCAGACCAGAACCTGCGCGTTAACTTTGCCCGTAATTTTATCAGGGAGGTCATCCAACCAGGCGCAGTTCTCAAACCGTTTTGGGAAGGGGGGTGCTAGACCCTTCGCACGGGACGCCGCCTTTCGCTACAGCTCTTTAATTTTGGCAAGTGGAGGGGGGCTAGACGAAAGTTTGATCATGGCTAAAGCCCCCTAGACCCCCCCCCGCCGGAATCGCGCCCGCATCCAATCTCTTTAACCTGAACACCCTCGTGGTATGGCTTAGAAACGTGAAGACCATTCTTCTTTATAATTAAATTGCAGTTAGTAACACAGACCGAGAACAATTACCAGAGAAATGTTTGAATGATCGGCTAGAAAATAAACGAAGAACTCTCTCCACGACACAGCCCTGCAGGTGTGTGTGCACATAATGGGAAATTGGTTTCTTTATTAAAAATGTCAATAGTAATAAATACTAACTTTACCAACTGGTTGCGAATCCATGGAAAATAATCCACGGAAAAGCGAGGTATGATATCACTAATTAAAATTGTGGTATAATAAAAAAAAATGTTTTTCAGTTTTATTTCACCTTTCTCTTCCTTGAACTGATGTAAATATACATTGTCAAATTAAGACAACTTGCAGCTCAAGTTGTGATTAAATTATATTTGAATATCCACGAGTTTAGCTGTTCCCACCGAGGCACGCCCTATCGCGAAATAAGCATCAGACACATATCAGACAAATATGCAACTTTTTTTGCAAATAATCAGAAAGCATTTTATCAGCCCCTTCGGAAATCTGATTTAATGAGCCCTTAAATTTGAACTTATTGGAGAATTTCCGGGGTAGGACAACATACCTGACTACAGCATTCTTTTATAACTCGAACAACTCCCTTGTAAGTTAGTTACTTTCCTTGTTCTTTTACTCCTAGCTTACAGATTCAGTAAAATAGTCCAAAGTTACCTCTGCAGCCTGGATAACTGTCCTTTCTCACCTTTGCGCTATGTTTGATCATTTTGAGAAAGACGCAGCAATAAAAAAAATAATTGTAGCTATTTTTGGCAGTTGAAATGGGGCCTATTCTTTAGTGTCCTAAAGGGAGAGGTGTCCTAAAAGTTTGGAACATATCCCCCACCGACCAGAATTAATCAACATTTCATTCGTAATACTAAAATAATTAGTAGAAAGAGAACAAATACTCACGTTTGCTCTGAGGAACGCTCGAGAGTATTTCCGCGAGACGGAGCTGCTGAATTGTAACGACTCCTGCGCAAACCAGTTCCTTTTTTATACCCGCAACGCCCAGTCAGCGGGGACACAGACGCATGCGCATTGTGCTCCAACCGTCTCAGGGAGAAATTTGACCATCCTGCCCAATTATTTCCTCGCCATTGAATTCAGAGTTCACGTATGTATTTGTCATTAGCTTTTTCACACGGATGCCAAGTTCTGAAAAGATCAGATAAGGACAGCCTCTCCCCTGGCTTTGGAAGTCTGTTCCTTTGTGGGTTACACGGGATTCGATGATACATTTTGACAGGATGGCATCTCCCAAAGCCCTATTTTATAACTACATTTTGTTTTCCCTTTGTTCATCCGGGCGGTCCTTGCTTCCGCAGTTCAACTGTACGTTCTGCAAGTCACCCTATTTACCATTTGAAATGTTATCAGGCGTGGGGAGCCAGTCCACCGCTAGAAAGCGTGAATAAGACACGTACATGTCATCTGTCGTTGCCAGGCACACCATGCATTTTGTTTAAAATCGGCAAGGGGCCCGTCCAACAAACAAGGCATTAGGCGATGTGGAATGAAATTCCGCAAAACCTTAAGAAATAACCTCATTTGACTTAAGTAATGAAACCCCAAAACTAGTAGCCGGTGGTGGCATTGTTTTGTTGTCAGGTCAGTCCAGGGCAGAGAATTTGGTCCTCCGCTATGTTTTGCTTGGATTTTTTGCGTTTATTTTTAGTCTCAGTTTGCATCTCGATGGGGATCGTCATTGGGGAATAACAGAGAGATTGCATTTGGAAATCACGGACTGCCAGGAAGATGGTGCAGAAGGCAGAAGGCCTATGTTCATTCTATTTGAGGTGCCTTTGCACTATATCCGCCTTAAGCAGAAGCACCCCCTCATCGGTCGAAAAGAGCCATGTTGGTCAGGAGTATGTTCATTATTTTTGTTGGTAGCAACTCACCCGAAACCCGTGCATTTCATAGTCCTTTGGGAATCAGCGAAGTGCAGTTCTGACCAAAGGAGCCGCCGTTGCGAAGAAAATTGCGCCCTCTATTGGTCCAGCTGGGAGCCCATAGGTCATTTTCAAATACCCAACTTCGGCTCCGTCTCAGGCTTCAACTGGTTTTTTTTTACCAGCTGGCTTTGAAGCTGTAAGCGCAGTAATTAGTCTAATAGTGCCACAGAACATCAAATAAGATGCAAGAAAGCCAAACATTACAGTAATCCAATGTAGTTTAAAACACTTCGGGCCCACAATCGGGGATTGGTTTTGGGAACGAAGCCTGAGACGGAGACGAAGTTGAGTATTGGAAAACGGCCCAGGTTCCACAACAAACAATTGCTTCACCTTGCCAAAATACTATGGCATAAACGTCAGCTTGATTTATTCAAACCCTTTACTGTCTGACAGTTAATGAATCATATTATTAACAGCCTATTTCAAAACACTTCCTGTTTAGTAGATTGATTTGGTAATTGTAATCGGTTTATTTAATAATACTCTATCTTCAGTTCGAGGTCAGTGTTGAAATTAATTGAATTTGTCCAATCTGGCATTGGATTAAATTGTATTGAATAAAAGTGCTTTTACCTGTAACAGTTTAATTTGAAGAGTATTCGATGTGCCTCGGTTGGTATTCCTATTGTAAATGATAAATTACCTTTCTCTATCAGG